GAAAGAGTACTGCTTCAATTTCAGGCTTTCAGGCAGAGTGGCACCAGTCATAAGGGCAATGTCAATGTAAGTTCATGCCAGTTTCAGCAATGTAATTATGAGAGTCCATGCGTATTTGATGTGGAAACATGATGTCATCATGGTGCTAGAAACAAGGCCAACATCCTCATCCCGATGTCTTGTGTGTCATGTACAAGGGACAGTAGGTGCAGTACATTAAAGTTAGTGGTGCAAATGGAGGGGTGCTTCCTCATCATCTGTCCTATGTTGGCTATTCCTGACTTAGTTTCTGCTCAGTGCCATTATATTTGATCACTTAGTCTTGTGCTTACTGAACATTCTCTGATATGGTGGACCTCAAAATGGGATACACAATAGAAGGATAAAATCATTCCCTCTGAGGCTTACAGTTTAGTGGGAAGAGTCAGATAGCTAAATAATTCCTGGCAAGCTAAGTCAGCTGGGAAAGTCAGAGTTCTGGGTATGACAAGGAATTTACCAGGGATGCTGAGCGAGGATGCTATAGGTCACAAAGGGAAAACTAATGCTACACAGCTGCATAGCATGGCTGGAGTGAGCCTTGTGATAGATAGTACTTGTAAAGCACGGTCCTATTTGTTCCTCTAATAGCCTGTGAGCCAAGTACTCTCACCTTCTATATGCTAGGAACTGAGCCTCTTATCACCTCTGGGTCCAAGGTCATACAGAGCAAGCAGCAATGTCATTCAAACTTGGGCCCTAAGCACCAGATTCTTCAAGCTGAATGTTTTCAAGTTCTGTAGAGGGAAATTAGAAGAGTAGACACACAGACTAAGAAGATTGGTAGAAAGCACAGTAGCAGCTAATGATCCCAGGAGGATGGCCACTGAATCCCACAGAGCAGAGTCCAAAAAGGACTTTCCCACCAGGACCCCAGAGGTTGTAGTAGCAACACTATGGTGTTTTGGAAATATGCTGGTACCCCATGAGAAGCATAAACACATAAACATCACATTTTTTTGTCTCTTGCTCCTACCCTGTACCCTCCTCCAACCCTTACCTCAAATATGGCGTCTGCATAGGAGCTGGTCTAGTTTCAGGAAAACATAAATTTTCTTCATCTTGGCTCCAGTTCTGCCTGGAATATTCTTCATCTCTACTACATGCATCCTTCCCTCCTCCCTACCACCCCAAATAAAAATAAAATACAATAATAACTGCATGCTAGAGTACCCAATATGCTCCTCGTACAAGCTTGGTTAAACAAATCACATTGACCTTTAATAAAAATGTGCCAAATGCTGCCTTCTCTCATTCAATATGTTAATCTTCAGGCCAAACTGCCATCAGAGCAAGCCTCATTAAGTACAAATCTGATCAGGCCATCCCTGGCTCCAAAGTGCCTCCAGGCTGAAGCCTAAACTCACAACAGTGCAGACAAGGGCCTCCTGGATGTGGCCTGTGTTGACCCTGCTAGCCTCATTTCCCACAATGTCCCTCCCTCTGCATCCTGCCCACCCTCAAGCTGTCCCTAAGTACATAGCCTGCTAAACTCCCTCAGCTCTGTCTCCAGCATGCCTCTGTCAGCAGTACCCTTGACACCTCACCCCTTGCCAGTCACACACTGATTACTTCCTGTCATTCAAGATGCAGTTCAGGGTCTCTCTTTCATTCTTCCTTTCCCGAATCCCCACACACACACACTCCAGGTGAAGCTGACAGCCCCTCCCTGAGTCTATACACCACTGTGACTCTCCCCTGCATTCACCTGATGATGCCTGGCTCTTGCGCTCCCATCTTGGTGCTGGCTCATGATCATGGCTTAGGACCAGTTGCAGCCAGGATGAGATGGATACCCAGCATAAGCTGATTATGTTAGTCACTGATGAAATTCAGGACCAGCATGTGACTCTGTGCTGTGGGCATTGTGGCTTTGTGACAGGAACACCTGATATCTCAGGCTACAGTACAGACTCTGCCCAGGCAGATTCCAGGTGCTCCTTCTCTCTTTGGCCTGTCCTGGGGCCTTGGAAAGTTCCCAGGGAACGTGTCAGTTTCTATTCAAATGGAGGGTTTTTAAAAGTTGCCAAACATGGTGGTATACACCTGATGTGTACCAACCAACACTTGGGAGGTGGATGATTAGTGACTCAAAACCAGCCAGGGCTGCATGACATCATGTCTCAAAAAAAAGAAAAAAGAAAGAAAGAAGGAAAGGAATGGGGGAAGAAAGGACTGGAAATAGGTTACGAGTATTTGTTCTTATAGAGGACCTAAGTTCATTCCCCGAAATCACATCATGTGGCTCACATCTGCCTATAATTCTAGATCCAAGGGGTCTGACACCCTCTCCTGGCCTACATGAGCATCTGCACACATATCTATGTATACACATACACATAAGTGAAACTAAAATATTTTTAAGGAGGGAGGGAGAAAGAAAGAAGAATGGAAAGGAAAGAGAGAAAGGGTAAGAGAGGGAGGGAGAAGGCCTTCATCTTAATGTCAGTGAAGTTTTTCTCCAAGCCCAGGTTGGCTGGTCTCACTTCAAGCATTGATGGAGGCCTGGAGGGGTTCTTGCGCCACAGTAGGGTAAATGGTAGATTTGTTTGCATTATTTCAGACTCCTAACTTGACTGGTCTTCTCACATGTAACAGTCAAGGAGCGCTAAAACTAAAAACCCTTGGCAAAGATGGTTCTTTTTATCAGAGAAAGTTTGAACCACTCCTGAAGGAAAAACTGGAGGAATGTCTCTCCCTGTAAGAAGAGATTGACGCATGAATCCCTATAGCAGCAGACAGAGCCTTCGTCACCCTGGCTCTGTCATCTACATATGTATATTGTTATATGCTGTCTGGGTCTTCAACGGGTATGAGGCATTCACTGTATCTCCCCTGTCCATTGCTGTATCTTAAGGGCCTAACCCTGGGCCCAGCTCCAATTGGTGCTTAGTGAATATCTGGAGAGTTAATGAATGGCCTTGGCTTGCAGGTCAGGAAAACTGGGTTTCCATTCCTACTCTGCAAACACTAGCTTCCTTTATGGCTGTGGACTTTGTCTCTCTGGTCTTTATTCTTCCCATCACTGTGGATGTTTTGCTGTATGCCTGACCCTTCTGGCTGGGTATGGATCCCAGATATGTATGAACATCTTTCCTTACACAATACTGCACTCAACTGATGTATTAGTAGCCACCATAGAGTTCTTTCCCATGGGAGTTAGATGCATGCAGAGGGACGCTGGGAGTGAACCTGTGTCATCCCTCTGCCAGCCAGGCTTTGGTGCCCTACTAAGTACTCTCCAGGCTGCTAGACTGGTCATATGGTAGGTATTTGTAGCACACTAGGACATTTACCATCTCTGGAGATAGATCTGCAGTTCCTGGGACATGAAAGTCTCAGTAAGAAGGGATCAGGGACTGAGAAAGACAGAGGCTTGGACAGATGGTCAGGGAACACAACATTGAAAGACAGAAGCAAATATAAGGTAAGGAAACTAGAAAAGCTACAGAACCTGAGAAGGAGAAGCCAGAAAAACAAGAAGATGAACTGCCACATTTTGGAAGCTGAGAGAAGAAAGCAACAGTATTCATCAAAAAAGAGAAGTTATTGTAGGGAGAAAGGAAAGGTAAACTGCGTCAAAAATTTAGACCCAATACATTGTCATCTTGTAAAATTTCAACCAATGCATTGAATAAAAATATCAGGATAAAACACCAAAAATGCTAATAGTAATTGTTTGACACAATTAGATTATCTCTTTTTTCTCTTTTATCCCCATAGTATTAATATGTATGCATGTTATTTTTAAATTTTAAAGACTATTTTGTAACAAAAGAGGTAATGCATAAAAGATCAGACCATCTGCATGGGCCTACAGAAGGAGTGGCACAAACAAATGGTCAGCTGTTGAACTTGAGCTTTGAACTTCATGGTAGGATTTGATCTGCTTAATCTCTTCTAAAAGTATTTTTTCAATGTACTTTTAATCAAGCAGTATTTATAAATAATAATGGCAACTGGACAACATTTCAACAGGCCCTGAAGCCTTGACTTGCTCATTTCATTGTGGCTGTGATTCCTGTATGTATTTGTTGTTTATTTTGGCTTGTGGCTTCAGAAGTTTAGTCTAGCAACATGAAGAAAGCACGGCAGTGAGAGCAACTCCATCCATGATGGCAGGAATTTGAGGTGGAGCTTACAGGAGACAGGACACAGACAGAGCAGGCTGGAACTAGGGGCTGGTTTGACATCAAAGGCCCACCCTTAATGACCTACTTTGGCAATCCAGGCCCCAAACATTAAAGGTTCTACGGCCTTCAAAATAGTATGATAAGCTGTAGACCAAGCATTCACACATGAGCCTGGATGTGCTGCTAATGCATTGGTGCTAGGAATTGCCTTCTAAGATATGAGCCTGTGGGGGATGTTTCAGGTCCAAACCATAATACGGTACAGCCAGATGTCGGGGACATTGTGGCTCTGCAGACAGTCCTCTGGTAGGACTGTTATTCCAACGCACCAGTGTTCAAAGTCCTATCTTTCTTTCTTCCCTAAATCCCTGACCCAGCTTTAGTTGTGTGACTTCTTTGACCACCAAAATGGGGACAGAAGTGAGTGACGTGTGCTGCTTCCGGGATGGAACAATTTTAGAGTCACCATCTTTTACAAGGCTTGTTTTTCATTGCGTCACTGGGATCTCCAAACCACAAGGCAACCATCAGTGGCTATTCTAAGAGTCTGAGTCACAGAGTGTAAACAACAATGACCTGGAGGAGAACCTTCAGCCACCTGGACTGTTTGTAAACAATAAGTAAAATTCTGTAGCTTAAAAAAAATAATAAAAAGAATAGGACACCAGATAGGTGAGGAGACTAACAATGGGACTGTTTGTTACTGAAGATACTGACGGATACAGTCTTCTGAAAATGTATGCCTATTTTAATATTATATATAATGAAGATGTATCAGCAATACTTTATCAAGATACTAAGTTTTGTTTTTATTGACTTCCTTTCTAGATGATGCATATTTACTACAGGGACTTAATATAGAGGAACTGTATCCAGAGACCTCTAGTTTCATCACTTATGATGGGTCGATGACTATCCCACCGTGCTATGAGACAGCGAGTTGGATAATAATGAATAAGCCTGTATACATAACCAGGATGCAGGTGAGCTTAACTTTGGTTCTTTAGCTAATGGGAAGAAAGTGTGAGAACTGATGGAGCAGGTTCCCAGTCGACGATGTTGACTAGGATTTGTGCAGCCATAAAGAACAAACTGGGTGGCACAAACAACAGAAACCTGTTTGCCTCACAGTTCTGGGAGACAGAGACCCAGATGAAGGAGTCAGAAGGGTTGGTTCCTTCTGAGAAATGTGAGAATCTGCTCCATGCCTGGTCCCTGACTTTTGTAGTTTGCCAGAAATCTCTGACATTCCCTGGCTCGAGATATACCACCCCAATTCTCTACCTTTGCTGTTCCTTGGTGTTCTCTGTGTAACCACATCTCTGTTACACTCAACCCTCTTTTAAAAAAGACCCTGGCAGCCTTTAATCCCAGCACTCGAGAGGCAGAGGCAGGCGGATCTCTATGAGTTCGAAACCAGCCTGGTCTACAAGAGCTAATTCCAGGACAGCCTCCAAAGCCACAGAGAAACCCTATCTCAAAAAACCAAAATAAATAAGTAAATAAATAAATAAATAAATAAATAAACTAAATCAAAGTGCTAACTTCAATTATTTCATATTAACTTAGCTGATTGCATCAGAAGTAGCCCTACTTCCAGGTAAAGTCACATCCCGAGTACTACAGATTACCAATACCTTCGAATCACGAGTTTGGGCGCACACAATTAAATCCACAACACCTGTGTATATAAAGCCAGTGTCCGAAATGGCCTAATCTGAACTGTGAAGACACTTTCCCTGCCTGAGGGAAGTAAGACTACAGAGCTGGTTCCACAATCAGGCTTTATAGAAAGAATGTGAATGTTCAGTGTTCAGGTAAAGGTGCAAAAGGATACAAACACAGTGCCTCACTCCTGCAACCCCAGCACTTGAGAAGCTGAGACAGGAGGACCACCCCAAGTTCTAGGCTAGCCCTAGAATGATGGCTACTGAGTAAGTACCTGTCTCAAAAACTTAACGATTTTTAAGCTAAATAAGCTAAAGAGAACCTTGGCGATAGAGTGCTTGTCCTACATGGGTGAGACCCTCCGTTCATTCTCTAGCGATACAGACAGGAAAAAGAACCTATGTCTTTATCGTTATGAAGGGACTTCTCAGATCTCTTAAAAACAGTATGTGTGTCAGTCTCCAAGCGGGGGTACCATGGTGCACAGCATCTCACAAAAGCGCTTTGGATGTGAGAGTTTTCAAGTATCATTTCAGGTAGTCTATTTCTTGGAACTGCACAGGAACCAGCCTGTGCCAGCTTTGCTTAGCGGCTCATTGTGCACTCCCGGCTTGCCAGCGTCCTCCTTTTCCCCATGATGAGGGTAGATTGCATGCATCTGTTCTCGCTCCAGACCTGATCGCCAGGATCTAGAAAGTCTCAGAGGGAAGATGAGCAAGTGAAGCAGAGCCCCATCTCCTTGGCAAGATCTGTGTTCACACCCTGACAACATGAACTTTCCAGTCCCTGATCCCGATGGGACTTGTTGGATGACAAACAACAATCACTCCCTCCGGGTCACTCAAGCTCAGAAAAGGGACATGTTCCAGAAATACTGGAGTATCTCAGAGAGTTCAAGACCAGAAACTAACGGGGAGAGAGGGTTCGCTAGAGTCAGAATGCCAGTTCTCTCCACTCTCCTCCTCCTTCACTCTTTCTCTCTTTTTTCCTCTTCTGACACCAGATATAGTGGGAAATTACCAATACGGAGTCAGGTAGAAATATAAGGGTATTTAATAGGGAAAAGCCTTACTTACAGAGCACCCTAGCCAGCCGGCTCGGCAGCGATCTGTACCGCAAGTACAAAAGTGAAACCGAAAGAGAAAACGCAGTCCCCTGAAAGTCTCACCCTGACCACGCTTGTAGCCAGCCCCTAAGTAGGCGTGGCTACAGCTTCCCCTACACTTCTTCCTCATCCTTCCCTCCTTCTCCCATCCCTCTTTTTTCCCTCCTCTTCCTGTTCCTTCTCATCATTCTCCTTCCCCTCTCTTCTGCGTCTTCTCCTTCCAATACATTGGCTTACTCTTCACAGTCTTGTGATAAAACAGCCCAGGTATTCACAAGACAGAAATTACATTGGTCCAGCTTAGGGCAGTAGACTAACCGCTATGGTCTGGGTAGTAACTATGTAGGGTCAAGGTATCAGAAAGCCCAGAAACTTCTGCCTGGGTATATTTGAGGATGAGAACCAATGAATTGTTTAAAGTCCACGAGCTGGTGAGTTACATGCCAATGTACTCCATGTCTGAAAGGCATCAGTGGCCCTTCACCTCAGCTCAGCTGCGAAAGGGGGCTCTGAGGACTCATGACCTTTCCCAGACAGAGGATGCTGCCTGACCAGGCAACAGCCTACTTGACCTTTCTTCCCCAGCACATCCTCAGAGTGGCTGGGTCTCACCGCTTTTTTTTCTCCTCAGATGCATTCCCTACGCCTCCTCAGCCAGAATCAGCCATCGCAGATCTTTCTGAGCATGAGTGACAACTTCAGGCCTGTGCAGCCTCTCAACAACCGCTGTATCCGCACCAACATCAACTTCAGTTTACAGGGGAAGGACTGCCCTAACAACAGGGCCCAGAAGCTTCAGTACAGAGGTGAGTGAGTACAGGGGCCCTTGGAACAATGCCCAGGCCAGAGGTCCATCTTTTAGCTTAGGCCTATCTCCCGTTGTAAGATCTCTGATTGTGAAGTCACTGCCACACCCACTTGCAAGGTGCCTCTCTGTTAGCAAATTTTGTATGTCATACATAGATGAAGGTTAAAAGGCTTGATTTATGTGATGTATGTTGATGTGTATAGATGTTTAATGTCACATGTATCAAACCTTTGCATCTCCTCTGGTTCAGGCAAAACAGTCCTTTCTATTGACATTTTATCAGAGATCTGGGAAAGCCTGAGTTCCCCAAGGTCATGTTAGAATAGAGCAGTAAGAAGCATTGGAGGTTTCAGCTGTGTGTCTCCTTGAAAGGGATGGAATGCTCCAGATGACACATTGTGCTAGGGTCCAAGGAGTGAATAGTTGTATCATTGTCTAGTGCCAAGTACCTATAAGCAGTTATTATTCCCACTAAAGGGGTGTTTAAGATGACATCTGTCTCCTGTGACTGGCTGGTCCACACTCGGGCTTCTGTCTTTTCTTCTACACACTAACTAAGCATCCAATGGCCAACATGGTGAACTCTCAGTGTGGAAAGCGGAGTGCAAACAGGGCAGTTTCAGAGATGTCCTGGACTAAGAATCAAGACATTCAAGAACCTACCTTTAACAAGCCATACAGCTCCTCCCTGGGCTTTTCCCATGGTTCCCAGTCTTGTCCTAGCAGTTTTGACAGTCACTATAGCTTGTGCCTGAATGGAGAGTCCTTTATAAAATGACATGGTCCCCAAATACAAGTGCTGTGGTCATTTCCAGACAGCTTTGGAAAGCAGATACCACTGGTGCTCCTTAACCCCAAATGCATTGCTCCTCTTTCCTCTGGGTTCCTTTCATCCTTTTTTCTCTCTTAGACACTCATAGGATACCTAAACTATAGAGTCCTTGATCCCTTTTAGCCACCACTACTGGACAAATACCCGCTTCTATGATTGACCTTTCTCCTTATTTCTCACTGATTTATTGGGCACCTACTGTGTATCAGGCACTTAGGTGGTGGTGGTGGTACAGTGGTAATGAAGATAGATATGACCCTAACCACAGAGAGGTTGGGAGCTAAATCAGGGTTTGGCACTTTTAGTATAAAGAAACAGCAATCAAATATATTAGGTGTTGTAGGTCAGGTAGTCTCTGTGTCACTCTAATGAAGTAGTATGAAGTCAGCCATAGGTAACACGCAAATCAGTTATAGTCAATATGCAAATAAAGGGGTGGGATTGTTAGATTGAGGCTGTTAACTAAAGTGTTCCTATCTCTGGTCTAAACCAATGCCCCCCCTCTCCCAACTAGGACTTTCTACATGACAAAAACCAGTCTATCCCTGTCTCAGCTATTGAGAAGTTGAAGTGTGACTGGCTTGATGTTACAAGTGCATTGACTCTTTTCATTCATTTGGCTTCACAGTAGCAACCTGAAGCTCTTGGCTAGCATTCTGGAGAACACAAGCCTAGAGAGCCATGGGGCAAGGAATTGTCATGACACTAGTAAGCAGGCAGGCTTTTGAGTAGGCCCCCTGCACCGTATTGCATTAATTCAGGCGTGCCTTGTTTTTTTGTGTTGTGTGTATGTGTGTGTTCGGTTTTGTTTCTTTCTCTCTTTCCAGTGAATGAATGGCTCCTCAAGTAGGGAACTAAAGCCAAGAAGAATATCCCACCTCAGTGAAGTTCTACAACTGTGAATTGACGCTACCCAGAATGCCCCCCTCTTTCTTCCTTCTCTCTCCTCCCCTGAGCCTTTCACTCTTTGGATTGGCCCCTTCTTCATGAAAACTGTTTGCAAAAATGTGTCAGAGGAGTGCATCTCTCTCTCTCTCTCTCTCTCCACACACACACACACACACACACACACGCACGCAAGTACACAGACATCATATCACCTCCATGATGGGAAGTCAAGTCTCAGAAACAAAGGTTCGTTCATCAGAGGTCTTAGAAGAAAACAACCAGTTAACCTGATTACAATTTTGATACTGTTTTCCTGAACTAATAACTCTGTCCGATGAGACTTCTCAGCCTTTGTACATAGAGAAATTCTTCCAAAAGAGAGAGTGGAGAAAACATCACTCTAAAAGCATCACGTGGACTCTATCTCATCATCCCTGACGGTGTCCTAAGATACTCTGAGGATGCTGGTGACAGGTAAACCAAGACAAAGCTGACCAAGGACACTTATTTCTAGATTACGATTCTTCTGTTTACTCAATGATTTAAAAAGAAAATATTCAAAAAAAAAAAAGGACAGACATCAAAGAGCTATACGTTGTGTATATATATATATCACTGCAGACTATAAGAATGGAATCATTTCCCTATTTGTCACATAACCGTACTAGGATTTGCCCGAGATCAGAATCGATCCCAGTCGCTGTTTCTTGTTTTCTGAAGGTCATACATTGTGTTTGGTTATTGTTAGCAGCCCAATAAATGTGTTTAATGCGTTGATTTCATTTTTCTGGCTTTGGTCTGTTCTCCTTCCTGCCAGGCTAAGCCCTAGCCCCATGCAGCTACCTTCTCAGATCTCCCGTGTTCCTTCATCTCCATGTTTTGTTCATTTGCAGCCAGTTTTACTGAGTTTGTGGCAAGCAGGAATGCATTTGCTAAGCAAGTATGCCTTTAATTCCACCCCATGGCTCGGTCATTCATCCCAGGTGAGCTTCGGCCTGATATAGTAGGCGACAGATTCCTTGCGTTTCAAAACTGCCATTCCCCACCCCAACCCCTGTGATGCTCCTGAAGGAATGCACTTTGCCTTGTAAATTCCTGGGAAATTGGGGTATCTTTTCTCTCCAGGTGCAGCCAGATCCCATAAAGTACAAACGAATGCCTTTCTTTTCTTGTTTATAATGGTCACTCACTGTGTTTGGTTACTGTCAAAAAAAATCAATAAATGTGTTTAACAAGTTGCCCAATGCCCATGTCTGAGTTTATTGAGGAGGAGGATGCTCCCTGCTGAAGTTCCCTGAGTCCTGCTGGGTCCACCGAGCAATTGCATCCAACCAGCAGGGCAGTCAGAGCTGCAGGAACAGGCTGTCTGGCCAGTCCCAGGACCAGGTAATTAGTACCCTGTTGAGAAAGCATATAGGCTTAGCTGCTGGAAAGGACAACTCGAATGTTCGGTTGGTTGCCAAATTAAGAATAACTTTCTCCTCTCCTTCCTTTCACAATGGCCAACAGGAGAGGAAGCACTGACGGGGCAGGTTTGTCCAAACAGCACAGACAAGGTAGGTGTATTAGAAACCCCACCTAGGGACAAGGTATATTGATAATGAAAAATTCAAACTATCAGTGATCTCATAATTAAAACACAGTGCTAAGCTGGACCTTTCTCTTTCCACTTTCTGCATTAACAGTAGTTACAGAACAACCTGAGCCATGTGGGTATCTAAGCCTACTTCTAAGCAGGTGCATTTTTACAGAAAACAAATTATCTACAAAAGTTTCAGGTGAGCAGGAAGCAGCCTTACAGTGCGTGGCTGGCTGCTTACTCTATGGCCACAATCTCCCCTAACCTGTGATGTAGCCAATGTGGGAGAATGACATTGAAAAATATGCAAGTAGATTGACTTCACTCCGCTATCTGCCTACCGCAAGACCCTGTGTAGGTTACTGTATACTGGACATATTAAAAGCTACTCTGTGAGTTCTGTCAATGCAAAACAAACAAAAAACAAAATACAAAAAAGCAAAAACCAACCCACAGCTATTACCACAAGAAAAAGGAGTTTATTCTGGAGCTAAATTTGAGTAGCCATGACCTGGGAAACAGATCCGGATCACTACATGGAGACAGTTTAATCACAAGAGAGAAGACAGGCATAAATCAAGGCAAATACAGACTACATGGGTGACTCTATCTGAATGGTGGTTACAGCAAGAAGAGGGGAATCTGTCCTACAGGTCTCAGATGCTAGCTGATGGCATTCCTAGCTTTGGAGTTGGTGAAAGTTAGTGATCTACTAAGTTAATAAATTCAAGGACGGTTTTACCTACTTGTCGAAAGATGTTAGTCCTGACACAAAGCTGGGCAAAGAATGGAATGGTTTTCTAAGGTGGTTAAAGCTAACCCAAGATAAGGAAGTTAGGCTCTGGGCCTGCAGCATTGCAACCTGTCCACATCACTGCAATTCTGTCAGTGTATCAGTATTTACAGACATGGCTTCTAAATAACCACTAATGACAACACAACACCTGCACTTGACTGCCCTGGAAGTAATGACCAGGGAGCATTTGCGTGGCCTACTCACCTGAAGTTTATCAAAACCATACTATGCCTCCCTTCACAGAAAGGGGTTAGTATTGATCACCCGGGGACAGCAGACAAACATCAAGAGGAACAGGTGTTATGCAGACAGGATAAACAGGTGTTGAGGAGGAAGCAGATCTGCAGGACCTGGGTTCCCAGGCCCTTTTCTGTTACCAGTGTCCTCTGACTTTGAACAAGTCAGCTTATCTCCCCCAGGCTGGGGCTAGGACAAAACAACCTCCTGTGACCTTCCCACAATGGCATTCCACAACCCAGCTCTCTCTGTGTCCTTTAGTCAAAGATGGGGGCAGATTAAGGAAAACCCAAGTGATCAACTGCCCATGATGTCCCCGGGCTCTTGGGAGAATTTCTCCTTAACTGACTGAACTTGAAATGGGTCAAACTGGTCTCTACCTTCCATCTTTGAGACCAATTCAAAAAGGCCCTTCTCCACATCCCCTGAGGTCCTAAAGCATAAGGCAGAGAGCAGACACTCCACATTCAAACCAAATAGGAGTGATGAAGATTAGCTAGACTGTGATGTAGTTCACTTGGCAGGATGCTTATCTAAACATGCACCCTGTAAACTGGACATGGTGACTCATTCCTGTAACACCAGCAATGGGAGAGGTGGAGTAGGAAAATCAGTTTATGAGTTTGAGGCCAGCTTGGGCTACATGAGACCTTGAATGAAAAAAAAATGAAGAAGTTGGCTTTTGAGCAGATCCACTTTGGTTTGACACTGGGCCTCTCTAGGCAGCCCAGGCTGACCCCAAATTCACAGTTCCCCTGCCATGGCTTTCCCAGTGATTGGATTACAGGTCTGAGCCACCACACTGGTCTTCAAAAACAAAAGTGTTTGAAGTATCAAAAATCCCCTAGAACTGGGCCTGGTGAGGACATCCATAAGCAAAAGTACATGAACACATTTTGCCATCTAGGAAGCTGAGGATGGTGTAGGCACAGTGTGCTCCGTTCTGTGGAATTTGCCTAACACCTGGCTTTAACTGTCAGAGCCCTGAGCAATATGGATGTCCCTTTCTTCTGGGAGGGATCTGGGGGTGTGCTGACTCTCATTCTCTTCCTAGCAGATGGGGGGGGGTTAAATGTGAATGCAAAAGCAGGAAGAGAAGATTGAATAATACAAAGAGAAAACTGAAAATTTGCAGCTGTCTCTGGGGAACACATTTTCCGTTTCTAAGGCCATTGGAGACCTTGTTCCCATCTATCTAGGTAACAGTTTGGTTTCCATGGCAACAACAGGACAACCACAACTGGCTGCACTAAATGTCCCTGTGTGATGGTGACCTGGAATTCAGGCAGGGAGAGCTATGCATGGGCTGGAATCTGATAGACCATGTGGTTATTAAAACACCACCAGCATCCCTAGGTGGGCCTTTCATGCTGAAGCCCAGAGTACTTGCATCTACACCAGTGTCCTAGTTTTCTTGCTCCAGAAAACTTAAGAGTAGGATTCTGGGAGCCCAAACTCATTCTCATACCGTCAACAACTAGCTGCTTGAACATAAGGGACGATCTGCCAAGACTCCAGCCAAAGAAATGTTCATAAGTCACATCACATCCGGAAAGCACATTTCCTGTGGCCCAGGCCTTGTGCTAAGTGTTTCCATCCATCTCCTTTTACCCACACAGGGACCTGGGACATAATCCCAATGTTGTTCCCATATTGCAAATGCAGAACTGGCTTCCTAAAGACTGAATGGCTGTTACAATAAATCTTTCCGCCAAAAGCCGAAGAGCCCCACTGCCACGTGTGAGCTTTAGGCCAGTCATCCGCCCGAGTTAGGGTCCCAATTAATGCACAGAGAGACTTGTATTAGGTTGAAAGCTGCTTGGCCAATGACTAGGACTTCTCATCTGCTAGCTCAGTCTTAGTTATCATAAATCTATATATGTTATAAGACTTATCTTTATAGAGGATGCCTTTTGCTGGCACCCTCTCTTGCCGGTGGCTCACATGGTGCCTCCGCTGGAGGAGGCAAAGGGGAAAAAGAAGGGACACTTCCTGTTTCTCCTTTCTTAAATATGAATCTCCTTGCTATGTCACTTCCTGCCTGGAACACCTCTTCTCTACTGCATTTCCCAGAATCCTCTTTGACTCCTAGTCCTGCCTAACTTGCTGTCTCATTGGCCAAACAGTATTTTATTCAATAATCAATAAGATGAACGTGCACAGTACATTTCCCATCAAATGGCCAATGGCATGTTCATCAGCAGGAAAGCCAGCCTCAGCTCTTTCAAACCCCTGTCTCCAGCCACCAACATCCCCTGGGACAGCTGAAAACTGCAGTTCATCAGCTCACCAAAGAGCTGTTCACACTCTGAGGATGAGGCCCAACAAGCCCAAGTGAGCCTGATGCCCA